GACGCCATGACTGCCTCCTGGCATGTACAAGTTTCTTCAGGCTGGAGTTTTGGTTCAAGGAAAGTTAGGAGAACAGCAGATTCTGGAGGGGGGTTTGCTATTTGAGTAGAGGAAAGTTAGAGCTCGGAATCATCTGACAACTGAGCTATCACTATAATGGTGTAAGGAGGTATAATTTAACAGTACTGTGGACCTCATAATAAAGTTCTGATGGGGATGGGCTGGGTTTATGAAAGTTTGTTTCCTGGACTTGGAACTTGAGCCAAGAAGGGTCTGTCCTCTCAGAGAAAGGAACAAGGAATGGACAGATATGTGGGAAAGCAGGCACGGGATCATCACAGTCAGCTCCAGGGAATCAAACAATAACTCAAATTTAGTTCCATATGAATTCAAAGTCATCACATGTGGAACACAGTACCATTTCTCCTTGTTCAGGGACAGAGATTTTAAGGAAAATCACCTCTAGACATTAAAAAAAAAAGGAAAAGCCTTCTGTCTTTCTCCTCTCACAGTCAGCTCTGTACTGTGGCCCACATTGTAGGTGGTGATGTTGTCGCAGATGCTGGGGACAGAGGGCCCCAATGCACAGAAGCAGATGACTGGACCTGTGGCACAACTTCTTCCCCAGCTGTTTTCAGTCATGTGTGCCTTCTCTTTCTGACTAGGAAGAGTGAAGGTCAAGGACACCAGTGCTTTCCCAGGAGACTGTGGGAATGGAGGAAGTCAGGGGGCCCTTCTACCCTGAGAAACTGGGTTATGAGCAGCCTGTGTTCTCTGCTGGACACTTGAGGAAGGAGGGCTCTGCCCCCCCACATGCAGGCTGCTGCCCCTGTTTAAACACACAAACTCATACACAGAAGAATCACTAAGCTTACCATTTTTCAAAGATATTCACTCTTTTCACAGTCTCCACACATGAAGATCAGACCTCTAAACATCTTTCTGTAACTTCAAGGCCTATGGAGATTTAATAAATCCAAAGCCAACAACTCAGAGGACAGCTTCCAGGAAAAATTCATGAATGAAATGTCCAAGAGCTGCTCCATCTGTCAGACCCACTGAAGACTCCAGTCCTCAATGGCTCATTCCCCTGAGTGCACATTCGCAATTCTGCCACACAGTGAGCCGAGCATCTCCTCTGTGAACCGGAAACCGGATTTCTCCAGCTGTGCTCAGGTCACTCAGCTACCCTAGATTTCTGCAGAATAACCAGTAAAGGGCCAGATCAGAACATGGATGTGCCAGACCTAAAAAACCGTTTGTGCCCTACATTAATCTTTTTCTTCTATAGGAATTATAGAGCAGCTACCATTCATTAGAATCATCCCACCAAGAAAGCTCTTTTCTTCCTTTTCTCCTTCTTTATTTCTTTCCCTTTCTTTTCTGTTGCTGTTTCATTGTGCCTTTCCTTCTCTTTATACCCTTCCTCTTCTATTCCCTTCCCTTCTGCTTCTTGTCTTCCCTCCCCTTCTCTTCTCTTTCCCTCTTCTCCTTCCTTTCCCTCTCTTCCTTTTCTTTTCCAGTGCAAAGATCTATATGTGAGCTCCCAGATATGAATCTAATTTTTGACACTGTTGAAATCATGCATTGTAACAATCTTATGTATAAGCCTTGCTCCACAAAGTTTATGAGGATTCATCCTTGAATCTACAATAAATTACATAAGAACTAAAGATCATCAAATTCCATACATAATATGTTTGAGATTAATGAACTAATCAAGGAACGATTATAGTTTTATTGAATAGGATAAACCCACTGTGGAGTAAAGGTGACCTCAGCCAAAACCATGCTGTAATAGTGATACAATTCATACCAGAGAATGGAAGACAAGTCTTACTAAGATTCAATATTATTTTTCTTTGCTTAAAATCATTACATCATTTGATCTATTTTCCAGAAATAACTACCATTATTTAAAAAACATTTTCTAATAACGCTATTTAATCACTTGATTAAAACTGTTTAACTCAATCTGTACACCTTGTGGTGAAAAGATATCATTACAGATAATTACACATTTATATTCCACATCTAAGAAACGCTGTCTATAGGACTTTAGCCATATACACAGCATTTCAAATCTGTGACTCTTAATTTTCTTATGACACCTGTCAGTCTTGAAAAGAAGGAGGGAACAGGCCTCTGCTAGGTCACATACTGCACTGGATATTCTTGTAAAAGCAATGAAACACTGCAAATCAATCAAGAATCAAGCCTCATGAATGTATATAATTAAAGCATGTAATGTGTGTCTGTTCTTTAGTAGATAATTGTATTTTGATTTCCCCATAAAACTTCTTCCAGTCTTTACTTTGTCTGTGTTCCATGGTGATCTCCTGAGCAAAATTTTAAATCTCATTTGTGCAATGACCTCATCACTTGTGAAATTAAATGCAACCAAGTGAATAAACAGAATTCATCAAGGTGTGGTGACACAGGTGTGAGTTTAGCAATCTGGGAAGCTGAGCAGAAGATGTAGGAGCTGAGGTCAGTCTGGAATAGAGCAAGATCCTTTCTCAGGCAAACAAACAAAGCATAAATTATCAGATTCACGCTAACTATATTCAATACCATATGAGAAAGCTGCACCACCTCCTAAGCCTCATGTCAGTCTTCAGCTGCAAGTTTGAGGACAGGCAGCAGGTGCCCGGGGAGCACAGTGCGCCTACCACACAAATGTAGGAGGCAGAGTCGCTGGGCTGAGAGGCTGTGATGTGCAAGGAGCTGTGTTTGGCAGCTACATCCAGAGTCACTGTGTACCTTCCATCTGATGTCTTGCTCTTGGTGGAAGCGATGATTATCACCAGGACAGGACCTCTCCCTGGGTCCTGCCTGTACCACCTGACATTGTTAACAGGGCTCACGGTGTAATCACATTGAAGGCTGCAGCTCTCTCCCTGCAGCACAGTCAGAGACTGAGGACTCTGCTCCACTACAGGGTTGCCATTCACACCTATTCAGAAGCAGAAAGTAAGAGATCAACAATCTAGCTTCAATACCTTCTAATTTCCATCCTTTCTGTGCTGTTCAGAAATCCCAGATGAACCAGAATGCAACCCACTTTCTTCCTTTCTCCTATCCCAGTGTAAATACACTCTGTCCGAGTCCTGTGCCCGTGTTGCCTGCCTGTGTGTCAGGGTTGGAAATCCTCACAACTTACACCAAATAGAAAGCCACAAAGCCAGCAAGGAAATCCTCAGCTGCTTCTCCATTCTTATTCTGCAAAGGTGCACCCTGCCAAGACGGACTTGTCTATTCAAAACCATCTCTTCTTTGTAACATTAAAAAAGGGTTCATCAGGAGGACGCCCAGCCAGTTAGAAGTCAGATCAACTGCAGATGCAGTTCTCCCTTGGTGGGCAGAGTCAGGGCATACACTGCCACCCTGAGGCCTGAGCTACAGTTGCTCAGATTGCTAAATTCTTTTATTAGGCTTTGTCTTCATTATTTGTGAAGGGATATAAAATATAAATCCCTACAGTCTGGAGAAGCACAATAGATTACTAATTAAGTTGTATATTTGAAGATCCGAAGTGAATTTTAACTACATATTATATGGATGGGACCTTAACTTTTAGCTTTCTCTTCTGCTAGTGGATATGGTTAGTGCAAAACCAGTAATTTGTTTTTTGTTAGTTTGAGAAAGGATCTTGCTATATTCCAGCCTGATCTCAACTCCTGATCCTTGTGACTCAACTTCCCAGATTGTGGAGAATACAGGCGAGGCATCATGCCTTGCTAAATTTTGAACTGTTTAAAACTGACAATTCATGTAAAAGACCTTATGATAGGGACTTCCTTGAACTTGAACTAAAATACGTGTTGTTTTAGGATAGCAGGTTTTCTTAGCTCTATTCTAATATATCTTTGGTTTCTAGAAAGTGATCCGTACAGAATTAGACACATAATAAACCCTTCCTGAATGAATGAAAAGTTTTGCTGCCATGAGGATAGTAGTACTTTGCCATTAATTATGAGCTGAACAACTTTCAAAGGCCTGCTGTTGCTCAGGCATAAGTATGTACTGAGGATAAGCAGAGTCCTGATGTTACAAACAGATTCCATTGAAAGAGAAGTGGAATATTTGAGTTCAGATGCTGGAAAGTTATCAAAGTTGAATCTTGTGAAAATTTTCAGCTCATTCCTCATATTTTCTCAGGAAAACAGAACTCCAATGAAAAGGTAATCATATGGGGAGTGGCTGTACATTTATAATTCGGTGTATGAAGACACAGAAAACAAAAGAATGAACAAAAGTATTCCAGTTAAAAATCAAAAGAAGGCTTGTTTATTATCCTCACATAAGATAAAATAAGCTTTTTAAAAAGAATTAGAGGATGAAGCAGGGTTATAGTGATTATTTTTATGTGTCTTCCTGGTTAAGGAGAAGTGAGTATTGAGATACCTGTTCTAACACATGTGTAGATATCACAGTGAATGCTTTGGGGTGAGAACAGAAGGAGTAGATAGAGCACAGAGGATGGTGAGAGAGTAAAAATACTCTGTGTGACATTCTATGGGGTGATATAGTCATTAATTTCTGTCAAAATCTATGTGATATGAAATCATACAAATGACATCTCAAATAAAGAGTGGACTTCGAGTGACTATGACATGTGAGAGCAGGGTCACCATTTGCACCCGGCAGAGCACTCTGGCTGTTAATTTTGGTAAAAGTGAAGGCTACAGCATTAGTTTTTTGGGTTTATATGAAAAATCTTACTTCCTGCCTCACAAGTTTGCTGAAGCCTGAAATGGTGAGGTTCCAAGGTCTCCCTTATTTAAAAAAGTTTGAAACATAATATTTATTCAATAAATACATACTGGATGAATTGATACAAAAATCCTAAAATTTACTCCTTTGTTAGTCATTTGCTTCTAAAATTCATCCAGCTGTTTTCCCAGGGGATCTCATGGCCAAGGGGCAACTGTTCTCCGTGTCTGTTCTTCTTTTGCAATTTCCCATCAAAATTCCATCTCTAACTTCTAGCCACAGCTTCATGGATGTGGATGTCCGTAATTACTGATGCCTGTAGATACGGCCATGAGCCCAGAGAGGGGCTTGCTCAGCAAGCATCTCCCTCTAACACTACCCTGTGCTGCCTCAGTCCTAGCTATTTCCTGTGGGAAGTGGTGGCTCTCTTCCTTGGCCTCTGCAGCAGGTGGCTGCCTCAGGCACACCTGGGGGTTTTTGTTCTCCCCACAACAGTCCTTACACTGTGGCTCACTCAGTGCACAGAAATACACTGCTGAGTCCTCAAGCTGAGAAGCTGATATGATAAGGTGGATGGACTTGTGTGCTTTCTGGAAATGCGAGGAGTAGCGACCTTCTGTTGCATTCTGTGTGTCATAAGAGTTCTGGCGAATGAGTAAGACCATCTCCCCACTGCTGGGCTGCTTATACCAGAAGAGACTGTATCTTGATTCACTGGTGTCATAGGTGCAGTGCAGGATCACAGCCTCTGCCTCTTCCACTGACACTGGTGGCTGGACTTGAGTTACTTTCTGGGCAAAGCTGGATCCTGAAGGAATAAAAGAATCAGAGAGTTTAGCTGTATGCAGAGTGGGACAACCTTCCCTGTGTACATCCTTTAATTGCTTTTCCCATATTCACTGTAAGACACTTCCTGTGCTTCCATTCTGAAGTCACAGAGGAGGCCCAAACCCACTGCAGCTTCCTACCCAGCCATGTGGAGGTCACCAGCAGCTTCAGCACCCCAGAGAGAGACATGCTTGCCTTTACCACCCAGAAGGAAAGTTTGTGTTCTTCAGATTCAGTGCTCTGAGCCTGATGAGCCTGGTTGGTGTGGGGGATGGGAGAATAGCTGACCTTTTCTGAGGTTGCTCTGAAGTAGGAAACAGAAGTTTCCTAGTGAAAGGCTTGGGCATGAGTCCCGTCACACTGCTCTGTGTTCTGGCTGGCAGTCTCACCTAGCCTGAGCCTCCTTTTAATTCAACCAATTCTGATATGTTAATATTGCTATGGTAGCCATTCAGCCTGAAAATACATAGGAGTCTATTGAAAGGGAAACTCATTAGAATAATGGCTGCCCTTCCTCACTGCATCTGTGCTGGGCCTAGGAGGTCAGCATCTATTTAAAGGCAGTGTGTACAGAGGATTAGGAAGACAGTGTGAGGTGCAGTAACCGTGCTTCCTCTTGTGTATGCATGTCATTTAGTCTAAAGGAGAAATCACTGGATCAGTGGAAAGCAAAGTTCATTGAAGCCATAACTGCCGTTCTTTTGATTTAGCTGTTGGTGTGAAAATATCCCTCCCATTCCCATTTCTCTCTTGGGTCAATCAGCAAAGAAAACCGCATCTCTCTTTCATAAAGCCTTTAAAATGTTAGATCTCTGGACGTGTTCCCAAATGTCTAAGCCTTTTAATTTTTGACACAGTCTAGCAATACATAGGGTAATGAACTATTAATTTTAAAATTTGTGTTTTACATATTTTAACATTAGCTTTTTGCATTTTATAATAAAAAATAATGGATACAATTTTCTAAGAAGTCAGTAACCCGCCAGTGGAAACGATTGTAATACAAATACTGAGCATTATGTATAGGAGAGACATCTGAATAGCAAATGTAAATTCACCTTTAAAGATGATTTCAAGACAAAAATCTTGCCAGTTCCCTTTAAAAGCCTCAGGACTGCTGAGCACAGAGAGGTTCCTGGATTTGGGCCCCCTTAGAGGGCATGAGGTTCTTGCTTTGCTGCCCTTTCTGCCTCCTGCTTCTCAGCATCCTGTGGCTCGTATTCACTGTGTGCACAGATGTCACAGCATCATGTTGTACACGGTAGATGTACATAGTGACAAAACAGACAACATAATCTATGAAGCCACAGTGAGCTAGCAAAACGTCCCAAGCTTTTTATTTTCATATTTCATGCTTTTAATGGCTGCATATTAGTTACTAATTAGAAACAAAAACACGCAGGCACTACCCTGAAAGATCTGCGCCCAAGGACAGAGGTGGGCTCAGCTAAGGGCGAGTGTGTTCGCATCGCGGAGGGGTCTGGCCGGCAACCCTGTCCTGCTGCCCTGAAGGATGCAACTGAATGTCCACAGTGGGTGGCTGCAGCGTTGGAGGGTTGTTTGGCTGAGTGTTTAGTAAAGTCCTTGGCTTTGCTTTCTGCCTATGTTTAAACGAACGTCCATAAGGCTCTGAGGACCTTTTCCAGCTCCTTGCTCCCACCACGGAGAGTAGGATGGAGCCTGCCCACGTCAGTGCCCTCCCAAGAGAGCTGCTTCCTACCTGGACCTGTGGACGGGTTCTGCTTCTCCAGTTCTCATGGGCTGTCCCATGAGGAGAGGAAAGGCAGGGAATGGTGCAAGGTGCCTGGTCATTAGGTTCTGAAATTCACTTCTCATACAGTAACAGAGAAGCTCACGTAAAACTAGTCTCCTCCCTGCGTGCGTAAGGGAAACTGCTGATATACTCTCCCGGTACAAATCCTCAGCCCACAGCTGCAGCCACAAGAACTCCAATGACACGCGGGTGTCCGTCTCCATTTTTCTTTCCGAATAGGGTCAGTCTCATCTAGAAGTCTCCAGCCAGCAGAGTTATTCCTATTATCAGGTCCACCCCTTTTTTATTTATGATGAAAGCGGTTTCTCACTTAGCAGTTATGGTGGCTTTTCCTGTTTTCTACCCAGGCAGTAAGAAGTCTCAGCTTGAGGCCATCAGCTTCCTATCCATTTAGAATTTGCTAAAATGAGGGCACAGCACAGCCGCACAAGCGGGTACCCAGCAAGCTCAAGGTCCTGGGCTGGATTTCTGCTTTGGGAAAAAAAAAAAAAAAAAGGGATTATCTCTACCCTTAGTCCGCACTAGTTGATGTGTGCTGCCATCTGGCGGCAGCTCCCTAACTACTGAAATCAATTGAAAGCTCATACTACATACTACATACTACATACTACATACTACATACTACATACTACATACTACATACTAAGGGCTCAGCCATATACTACAGTTCTCTACATTGTACTTTACTGGAGATTAAATGCACAGTCAATATGAAGAGTTCAAGGCAGATATTCATGTGCACTGCTGTGTCTCCATGAATAAACTGGAACGAGATAAATGTTTATTTAGCGAAAGATTGAATTAAAATCAAGGAAACTGCCACATTCTCATAAAGAAAGAAAAAGCCAAATTTTCCTTTCAGCCAAATCTACCTTGAAGATCTATCTTTTACATTGAAAACACTTCTTAAAAGGCACGTGTGCGCCAAAGATCGGAGAAAGAGAGAGAAGCTCCAAGTATCTGAGATGCGGTTCTCTCAGCCTCTGCTGCTCCAGGGCTGATCCAGCCAGCCACCGTGCCCTTCGCAAAGAACAGATGGTCGCCCACAGCCCACCCAGGCCACTTCTGTAAAACTGGGGGTTGACAGAAGTAAAGAACAAGTTCCAGCTCAAAGTATCCCTCATTTACACGAACTGAAACTCTTGCTTCTGGCAGTCAGATTGCTTAGACCACAGCTCTCCCAGCACCAAAGGGTAGAGCCCAAAGCACCTGGACCCCTTGAGGCATCCCTGCTTTGCTCAACAATCTGATCCTTCAGGAGTGTGACGGGGGACAGATTCCTAAAGAAGAAATGAGAAAGTGGGTTCTTTCTATTCCCACTTATTTATTTACTAGCTAATTGTTTTATATTTGAATTTTTCATGTGATTTCTGCCTTTGTAAAATCAAGTGGGAATAGAAGTTCTCTAAAGATCTTTCCAGATATAAAAATATTTTATACAATTAACAGAGAAAATGTTTATTAAATGGTGGCTTTATGAAATATGGAGGCATATAAGGATGTGGAGAAACTGTCTGATACCATGGAATTCCAACATTTTTATGTTCACATGTAATTCAATGTCCCCGAGGTTATACTAACCAATCCTGTGGCTTCTTCATAGAGAGACAGGTTCCTTATAATGATGTAGACGTAACATAAACTTTCTCACTGCAAAAATGTGTTTCTAACGCTAACATTTTGTAAGAATATCTTGGTTCCTTATACTAGTATTCCTCGTTGCTCTTGTGCAAGTTAATTTATTAGAGTTTCAAAAGTTATTCTTTTAGAAACCTCATTTTATAGCAGGATTATAGAAAGTATCTTGGGTACTTTTGGTAAATGAAATATTGTGACCAGAATTTTTGTTGATTTCTGATTTTGAGACATTGTACAGTAGATATTAAAGATCGTAAGAGTATTTTATCTGATATGAGAATATTAGCATGGGTACCTAATAAAATATTTTGAAATATAAATATCAGTAAATCTATGGTTTTTTCCAGTCAAATAATTACCCGAAAATAATTTAGTCTTCATAAAGGTCAGTTTCAGGTGAGTCTAAATTTTATTTTAATTATAACTTACACAAAAATATCCCAGTGTGTCCTCTGGTGTTTTCCATAACTTTATAACTAAAAGTGGTTTTGTGATTTGTACATAATTCTGAGTACTTGCTTTTACATCTCATCACTGTATTTTTCAAGTATAAGGATTTGGTTAATGCAGAAACACATGAAAAGTATTTTTCATGTTTAAATTTCTAAGCTGTGAAATTCACTCTGAAACATGGCATCACTTTCAGACAAGAGTTCCCAAAACCTTTTGCAAGGTACTAATGTCAGGTTTGATGAGGGCACCACTCTCCCCACACCTAACCTGTTTGCCAGAAGAGGTGCTGTTCTCAGCAAAGAGCTGGCTCAGTACTGGGGCTGCTCTCAGCAAACACAGGATGCTGTAAAAGAGGTAGAAAAGAGCATGTAATTCTGCAAGCAGGGGGACATCTGAAGACACCCAAACACTGACACCGGACATCTCAAGGTCTTTGATCAAGGAGGCACTGGACATTCAGAGAACTTTGAACACAGATTTTTGCTCAGATTTCCTCAACTGAGATCTCTGACCCTTACTGTCTAAGATCAATAAAAGTCCCGGGTTTTTTGTGTGTACTACAGAGATGGCCTTTCCATCCTCTCTGCCTGCACTCAGACATGATAAATTGTGTGACATGTTGCCTTTACAGTAGCCTGGTAGTTTCTACTTATTGCCATCAAAACGGCTTATTGCACTACATATGTGTACATATACATTTTGTAATAAGCTTTACTACTTTCTGTTTTTGATAATTTCCTAAAAGTGTCCACCGAAAACCATTTTTACATGTCTCAACTACTACAGAGTTCTTAGCATGCAGAATGGAACAACCAGCTCTTCAGTATAGAGGTTACTGGCGGTACCCTTGGATCCAAGCTTGCATAAGTCCCTGTGTTCCTCACATGCTCCTGTACATGCTACATCCTCTTATCAATTTTCACTTGCAGTGCACAAGCTCAAAGGTTTATTTATTAGGAATGTCACAACACCAACAGCAGAAAATTAAGTCCACTACCGGGCTCCATATGGGGAAATGCCTCAGACCTCACAGGCTACCTCCCAAGGAGGCCGTGCTTGCTCCCAGCTTCCCTGGAGCTGTCTGGCTGCCCTCTTCCTAGTTCTCAGGGTCTCACTCTTTTGCAGGAAATCCTGTACATTCCCATAAAAGTCCTTGCAAGTCTGGGGCACACATACAAGTTTAAACCTTGACTTCGCTTGTCAAGGCATTGTTGTGAAATTTTCTGCTCGTCTTCTCATAACATAAGTAGTAGAACATCTGGAGTAATAAGGTTACTCAAAACATAAGCAAGATCAGCCAATGTTAACATCAGAACAGGAAAAG